TGATCTTGTAGATCTTCTCATATGCTGTGCACTTGGGCCAATATGTCCTTATAGTCATGGAGTGAAGTGTGCAGGTCTGGTTCAGGCAGCAGGGAGGCTGGGTTCAGGGCTGCTGGAGGCTCTGGCTGGCACATTTGGGCTTTCTTAGTTGAGGCTCGATACCCAAGTTCTCCAATAGTTTTTAGTAGTCTCTTTTTTTCCCTCCTAGCAGGCTTCTTCAGTTTCTGCAGCAATGAGGAGGTCGTCTGTGTATTGTAGCAAAGTTATATTGGGGTTTTGTTGGCAGTACTCACTCAGGTCTTCATGGAGGGCTTCATCAAAGATGGTGGGCGAGTTCTTCAATCCCTGTGGCAGTCTGGTCCAGGTCAGTTGTCCGTTGATTCCTTCATTTGGATCTGACCATTTGAAGGCAAATATGGCTTGGCTCCCAGGAGCTAGGGGGAGACTGAAGAAAGCATCTTTTAGATCCAACACTGTATGCCATTGACGGGAGGGAGGCAAAGAGCTTAGTAGAGTGTAAGGATTAGGCACAGTAGGATGAATATCACTCTTTTATTTACTTCTTTGAGATCTCGGACCGGCCGGTAATCGTTGGAATTTGGCTTTTTTATTGGTAAGAAGGGGGTGTTCCAAGCAGATTGGCATGGCTTCAATATTCCCTGTTTTATCAGGTTTTTAATATGTGGCCTGATCCCTTTTCGGGCGGCTAGTGGCATGGGGTATTTATTGATGAACTCTGATAGGGTTCACATCGTTTGACTTCATTATACATTGGTGCCCTGTGTTTGGTTAAACTCATTTCAGATATTTTTGTTCATGCCTGAGGAAACTCTTTTAACCATGAGAACTGGTCTGTTTCATCTAATAACTCAGGAGGGGGACTCTGATGTAGTCTGTTTTTCTTTTCTTTGTTTAGGTTCTCCTAGAGTAGCTGTTGCTAGCACATGTGCCAGTCTGCGAGTTTGGCGATCTTCAGTTTGTTCCCTGTTATTATAAACTCTTTCTGTTATTATTACGAGATTTTGTATATATTTTTTTAGCCTTTCTCTTCTTTGAAGCTTTCTCTTGATTGGTGCAGCCTGGTTTATGAAAGCCATAATTATTGTTGCCCTATTTTTGGGGGCCTCCGGATCCATAGGTGTGTATCTATGGAAAGCCTCCTGTATCCTTTCTTAGGAAAGCTGATGGACTTCTTCCTTACCTTGTTGTACATTGCCTACCTTACACAAATTAGTGGGCCTCTTAGCGGCCGCATGCAGACCTCCCAGTAGAGTCTGGCGGTAGACCTGGAGCCGCTCCTTACCTTCAGCCATTTTGTGGTCCCAATTGGGCCCGGATAAGGGAAGGGCCTGGTTGATAAGGTCAGGAGTAACTGTGGGTGTCCTGTTGTTGCCAGGCACCAGTTTTCTGGCTTCCATTAGGATTTTCTCCCTTTCTGTTGTGGGAAAGAGCACATGTAACAGTTTCTGGCAATCATCCCATGTAGGCTGATGAGTAAAAAGCACAGTTTCTATTAATTCAATGAGATGCCTAGGGTTATCAGAAAACTTAGCATTCTGTGTTCGCCAATTGTAAAGGTTACTAGTGGCGAATGGCCAGTATGGCATCTCCTGGTTATCATTACTGACCCATGGGCCCGTGACTTTCAACCGAAGGATTGTAGAGGCAGGGGTGGCAGCAGCCCAGAGCCTGGACACATTGTATTTATATATATATAGTGAAAGGGGTCTCGAGCCCCCTTTGGGTGCCCCTTGCCCAATTATGCCACTCATACACTGAGAGGTCCGGCAGGAGATCTTTATTGTAGGTAGGAGAGCGGGAGGTAGGAAGGCAGAGAGCGAGAGAGCGAGGAGAGGAAGTACTGGGATATTTATAGGGCAGGCAATGGAAGATCCTTCCTTGGGAGAAGCGGTCTTTGTTATCCTATCACAAGCCAGGTTGTCTTTTGAATTTTGCGCTTTATAATTTTGGCGGGATAAAGGACTCAGAGTCAGGAAAGAACCCGGAAGTAAGATATAAAATGGCTGGGGGGGGTTATATTTTAACATGTGTGATCTCCTAACATTCCCCACTCTTTGATTTTGGATGACAATCAACAGCCAACATGTCCATGGCAGGTGGAAAAAGGGGCGGAGAGTCTGTCTTCTATATCTACTTCCTGCTGAATTGGGGCGATGAATCAACCTAGGGGGCAGGCGTTAGCCTGATGTGCAGTTGGCTGTGCTGTCGTTGGGCGTGGGTGAGCTGACGGTCATTGGAGTTATCTGTAAGAAAAACTTAAACATACAGGTTGGTCAGTGAGGAGGGGAACTGAGGCCGGATTTTAGTCGAGGGGAGACTCTAAGAACTGAGGTGAGTCATTTTAGAAATAATGAAGAGTAAAAGGAAAAGTGAAAGTCTCAATTTTATCTGGTGTGAACTGACAAAGGGATCCCTGGAGCCAGGCCTCAGAGACCCAACTGGTTATCTGTGGAACCGGACAAGGGTGTGGAGCCATCCAACATAGATCGGGGAGCAGTTTTTTAGGAATTCTCTGAACCTGGTGAAGATCCAGATGGACGGTTGGTTCTGGAGAGTAATTTCCGTATGAAGGAAGTTTCAGCAATGTTTGGGTCCTGTGTCCTTAGCATCGACTGGTGAGCCATCTGTGTGGAGACCTGAGTGGAGAGCTGGTTAGTGTCCCTGTCCTCAGCAGGGATGTGTTGGTACTGTTGGTGAAGTACCATGAGTCTGACTGCATTCATTCTATGTTGAATGAAAGCAGTCTGTTAATTATGCAGGGTCCAAGTTCAAGTCAGGTGCTTCTTTTGTAATTTTAGTAAGTTTTACCTTGAGAGGTCCCATATGGGTTGCAGAGTAGGTTGAAGGAGAATCTGTTGAAAGGTCGGGAAGGGAAGAAATGGGTAAAAACGGTTTAAGTCGGGAACAGTGGAACCAGCCGTGGAGTGATTTTAGTTTTACTGCGGTTGGAGTGGATAGAACTACTGTAAATGGTCCCTGATATTTAGGTTTAAGGGGATCTCTTTGTTCATTAGGTGGATCCAGGAGGACCTGGTGTAGGGGTTTGTAGGAAGGTGGGAGGTCTGATATGGGGCAGGGTAATAATGAATCAACATGTTGCCATAACTGGACCCGCATGTAATTAAGTAAGGGAATTAATAGGGTGGGAGGAAGAGGGGAGGCTTGGGGGTTTAGTCCTGGAGGCAGTATGGGGCGTCCAAATATTATTTCAAAGGGAGAGATCTGGAGAGGGGCTTTGGGTAGGGATCTCAACCTTAATAAAGCAATGGCAAGAGTGTAACCCAATCTAGGTGGAGTTCTAAGGTCAGTTTAGTGAGGATGAATTTGATAGACCTATTGGTACGTTCTATCTTTCCTGAAGATTGGGGGTGGAATGGGATATGGAAATGCCAGGAAGTTCCCATGAATTTGGTGAGGCCCTGAGTTATCCGAGAGGTGAACTCAGGTCCATTGTCAGATTGGAAGGAGGTGGGGAGTCCAAACCTGGGAATGAGTTCCTTAAAAATCAAAAGGGAAACTGTGGAGGCCCATTTGTTTGTAGTAGGGTAGGCCTCGACCCATCCAGAGAAAGTATCTACTAGTACTAACAGATATTTATATTTTTTTATCCTAGGCATATGTGTAAAGTCTATCTGCCAATCCATGCCTGGTAATGTGCCTCTTGCTTGGTGTGTGGGAAAGGGGATGGGCCTGGTAGAGGGGTTAGATTTTTGACATATGAGGCAGGTGGAGGTCAGGTTTTGGAGGAACAATTTATCTGAAGGAGAAAGAGAAGTTATTGGTTCTAGAAAGGCCAGTAAGTTCTTATAACCGGGATGGAAAAGTTTATGTAGGTAGGTAAGCTGATCTCTGGTTATAGGAGGGACTTTGGGGGGTGCATCTGGGCCATCTGAAGGACCTGTTGTAGTCAGGGGCAGCATAGAGTTAGAGTTTGGGATGTTTTGTGAGTTTAGGGCAGCCTCTTTTGCAGCCTGATCGGCCCTGTTATTTGCCTTAGATACTTGTGATGTGTCTGATTGGTGGGCTTTGCAATGGACAATACCTATTGCTGATGGTAACCTGGATGCCTGTAAGAGTTCTATAATGAATTTGGAATTTTGGATGGAGTTGCCCTTTGTGGTGCAGAATCCTCTTTCTTGCCAGATCGCTGCATGTGAGAGAAATATATGGAAAGCATATTTGGAATCAGTATATACAGTAAGTCGTTTTCCTGAGGCCAATATAAATGCTCGAGTAAGGGCTATGAGCTCTGCTTGTTGGTTAGTAGTTTGGGTGGGTAAGGACCCTTGTTCTATGACTTCAGAGTGGGATATTATGGCATATCCCACCCTCCTGGTGAGATCTTTGAGAAATGAACTGCCATCTGTAAACCAAACCAGCTCAGAGGAGGGAAGGGGACCTTCTATTATGTGGGAATCATGGGGTAAGAGATCTTCGAGAGTTTCTAGACAGTTATGAATAGGCATATCAGCATTGGGGGTTGGTAATAGAGAGGAGGGGTTGATGGGTGGACAGAGCTGAAAAGTGAGGGAAGGGTCTTGTAGAAGGGCTGTTTGGAGTGACAGGATCCTGCAAGGTGGAAGGTACTGTAGATGTTTGTAATTTAATAAATCTGAAAGGGAATGATGAGAAAGTATTATCATGGGAGATCCAAAAGTGAGTTTTTTTGATTCTCAGGCTAGGAGTGACACGGCTGCTAGGTTTCGCAAACAAGGAGCCCATCCCTTAATGGTTGAGTCTAATTGTTTAGATAAATAAGCTACAGGTGCAAAAGTGGGGCCTAATTGATGTCCTGAGACTCCAAGGGCAAATCCCTTGTTCTCTGACACATAAAGATGAAAGGGGTGTGACAAGTCTGGAAGATGTAAAGCAGGGGCTTCTAATAAATTTGATTTGAGATGAATAAAAGGGACACTTATAGGGGCATCTATGGGTTCATGGGGATTTCCTTTAACTGCTTCATAAAGAGGAGCTGCCAAAAGAGAATAGTTGGGAATCCAGGATCGAAGATATCCAGCCATGCCCAGAAAGGAAAGAAGTTCCCTTTTGGTTGTGGGGACTGGGATATCCCGAAGTGTTTGTTTTCTGTCTAGTGTGATTGATTTGAACTCAGGTGTTAAAGATACTCCTAAATAGGTGACCTGTTGTTTGAAAAGTTGGACATTTGTTGGTGACACCCGATATCCTTTCTGAGAGATAAAGTTTAGGAGTGTGTAAGTGTCTTGCTGGAGTGTGAGTAATGAAGGAGCACAGAGAAGGAGTTCATCTACATACTGAATACACTGTGTATCGTTGAGTTGGAGAAGAGAAAGATCTTGGGCTAGAATTTGACCAAACAGGTGGGGGCTATCTCTAAAACCCTGAGGCAAGACAGTCCAGGTAAGCTGGGTAGACACATTGGTGAAGGGATCGGTCCAGGTGAATGTGTGAAATATTGGTTAAGGGATCGGTCCAGGTGAATGTGAAAATATTTTGAGAGTCTTTATGTAAGGGGATAGAAAAGAATGCATCTTTGAGGTCTAAAACAGAAAAATAAGTGGCATCGGATCGAATGGAAGACAGGAGTGTATATGGGTTTGGCACGATAGGATGTATAGGAACTACAGCTGAGTTAATGATCCTAAGGTTTTGAACCAATGTCTATGTCCCATTAGGTTTTTTTACTGCTAAAATGGGGGTGTTATAGGGAGAGTTGGCATGTCTCAGGAGTCTCTTTTGTAAGAGATCATGGATTATGGGGGTTAATCCCTCTAAGCTAGAGCGGGGAAGGGGGTATTGTGCCAAGTTAGGGAATTGTGAGGGATTTTTAAGGAGAATTTTGACGGGACATTTGGCTACTGAGGGAGAGTGGATATCCCATACTTGAGGATTAACAAGAGAGGGGCTAATTGGCCAGTTGGATTGGGAAGATGAGGATTGGAGGGCTTGAGATAGTACCAGGCAGAGGGAAGTTGTCGGAGTGTTGGAAGGGCTCGGCATAGAGAAGTGACTAGAAGTTCCAATTTGGGATAAAATATCATGGCCCAATAAGGGGACCGGGTAGGATGGAAGAACTAAAAATGAGTGAAGAAATGTAAGATTGCCAATAGTGCAAGATAGTAGGGGGTTCTGGTGTGGGCATTGTAGTTGTCCTTCTACCCCAACAATAGAAGTCTGAGAAAGGGAGGTAGGCCCCCAGTATTCTCTTAGTGCAGAGAAGCTGGCACCAGTATCCAATAAGAAAGAAATGGTCCTACCTGCCACAGTCAAGATTACCCTGGGCTCCTGGGCGGTGATCCGCATTGGGCCAGACGTGCCAGGGCCTCTTCGTTGTCCCTCCGTTGTCGCTAGACCTATCAGGTCCGCATGTTGGAAAGCTATGGGGCTGACGGTCTGATGGCGGGTGGATGCCAAGGGACAGTCTGTGCCCCAATGTCCTCTCTGGTGGCATTTGGGACAGGGCTTAGTTGGCACTCTGGGATTAGGACAGTCCTTTGCCCAGTGGCCTTCCTGATGACACTTGTAACAGGGGCCTGGTGGTTGGGAGCTCTTTTATAGGGGTTTTCTTTCCTGTGGCATAGGTGGACTGGTCGAATTAAGAGCTTGTGCTAATAACTGATATTTCTTTGTAATTTTGAGGTCATCTCGGCCATGGTAGGCCTTGAATGCTGTGGCCAGAACCTCTGCCTGAGGGGTCAAGGGCCCCCGATCAAGCTTTTTTAGTTTAAGTCTAATGGGGTAGCTCTGAGAGAAGAAATGCATCATAATTAATCTCTGACCATCCACAGACTCAGGGTCTAGTTTGGTATGTTGATGGAGGCCATCAGTTAGCCTTTGTAAAAAGGTGGATGGATTTTCGTTCTTGTCTGTATAATTTCATTAAGCTTTTCATAATTAATGGCCTTCATGGCAGCTCCGCAGAGCCCATGAAGGGGACAATTTTGGTATCTGTTTCGAGCTGCAATTCCCACCTCTGTGTTGTAGTCCCATTCTGGGTCCTGATCAGGGACTGCAGCAGCACCTGCCGGGTGGTGATTGTTGGTTAAATGTTCTTGGTCTGCATGTGCACGAGCCTGATCCAGCGCTCTTCTATTTTCTTCAGGAGTTAAGGCATTGGTTAAAACTACAAAGAGATCATGCTAAGTTAGTTGATAAGACTTAGTCAAAAGTTGAAATTGTTTTATAAAGGTAGTCGGATTGGCTGTAAAAGAACCAAGCCTGGCCTGAATGAGAGCTAGTTCAGACATAGGAAAAGGAGTATGAAAGCGGACAATTCCTTTGGCTCCGGCTACCTCGTGCAAGGGCGCCATCGTGTGGCCCTTGTGTGACCTGGAGCGAGCAAGGGGTGGAGTTGGCGCATGGGGTGGGGCAGTGGGAGGTCCAGGGGAAATGAGAGAGGCGGGAGATTCAGAGGGTTGGGAGGAGTCAGATGGAGTAGGGGGAGGAGTGGAAGGAGTTTTTGCCACCAGATAAGGAGGAGGATCCTCTGCCGGATCAGGTTGGGCGGGAGAGTCAGAAAGAGAGGGATTGGTAGCGGAAAGGCTTTGAGTCAGCAAAAGTATTGGAGCAGTTTTGGCAGTGGAACAAAGAGAGGGCTGATTAGCAAGATAGGAAAAGCCTTGGACATATGGGATCTCCGACCATTTTCCTTGTCGCTCGCATAAGTTGTAAAGGTCTCTAATTAGACCTGATTCAAAGGAGCCATTAGGTGGCCAGACGTTTTGATTGCCTAATTGATATTGGGGCCAAATTTGAGTAGACAAGCGAAGTAGCCATTTGAGTTTTAAATCAAGACCCTCCAAATTCCTGAGTAAGCATCCCAAAGGAGAGTCTGCAGGTATGGAGGAGCCAGAGCCCATGACCACCGGGATAAGGAGGTTATCAGAAGACCAGACGTCTCCGAGAGCTCTGATAAGACCCCCTCTTCTCTAGACCTGGTCTAGAGGACGGAAACTCGGTTTCTTGTGAAGGCATCCCTCACACAAGATAGGAGTTTAAATGAAGCTAAGTCCCGGACTTAGCTCAAATGTGGCAAACCTGGTTTGCGAGAGAGTGAGGACAGAGCCTGGCGCCCGGCCATGTCCCAAATGTGATCCCAGTGGGTGGTCTGAGGTCTGGGGTCCCCATTACCCTGAAGACTTTTCTGAAAGGGGAACTTACCCAAAAAAGTGTGGGTCAGAAGATCAGCAGGTCGGTGGTGGCTGCAAAGATGGCGATGAGGAGAATGGTCACGGACGTCGGGCGGGGGCTGAGCAGGGGCGCCGTAGAATCTGGGTTTCAGGCCTCAGGTGTTTTAGCCTGTGGGCCTGGCAATCCCAGATCCCACTTCTGACACCAATGAAAGGGGTCTCGAGCCCCCTTTGGGTGCCCCTTGCCCAATTATGCCACTCACGCACCGAGAGGTCCGGCAGGAGATCTTTATTGTAGGGAGGCGAGCGGGAGGCAGGAAGGCAGAGAGCAAGAGAGTGAGAGCGAGGAGAGGGAGTACTGGGATATTTATAGGGCAGGCACCGGAAGATCTTTTTTTGGGAGAAGTGGTCTTTGTTATCCTATCGCAAGCCAGGTTGTCTTTTGAATTTTGTGCTTTACAATTTTGGCGGGATAAAGGACTCAGAGTCAGGAAAGAACCCGGAAGTAAGATATAAAATGGCTGGGGGGGGGTTATATTTTAACATGTGTGATCTCCTAACATATAGAATCTAAATCTTGTAAAAACTTTTTATTTCAAAAATTTTTTTATTTGCTTTAAGTCCTTTTATCTCCAAGCAGTATAAACTTTATATTTTGGCTCCTAAAGCAGTATTAATAGTCTCTTAGTATCCTATTTTTTATTTAGTACAGAAAATTAATAATAACCATAGTTTTATGTATGAAACTTCATAAACTTTAATTAATTAGGTATCAACAGCATTTCTAATAAAACCTATTAACTATTTTTTCATAGAAATTCTATTTTGAAGATGAGCTCTATAAACATAATAACATATTTAGAATCTAACACTTTGATGATAACCAATGTAATATTCTATAATAACATATTTGGCCATGTTTATTGGGGGTATATCTTTTTAGAAGGCTATGAAAACTACTGAGGCTTCTATTAGTGAATAAAGACCAGAATAAATTTTTCTGAGCAGTTGTCCTTTTAGTATTAACAGGAGTCTATTTAGATTTGAGTTTATATTTAATTATCTTGACAAAATTTTTACTTATAAAACCAGGTTATAGAAATTAAATTATTAGTATCCTTGTTGTTATTTCAATCAAAATATAATTGGACAAACATTTTTTTAAACAATTGGATAGACACAAACATATAAGACAATTTATGAAGCTATAATATGCTCAAATGTATTTGGCCAATTAAATTATAAAATCTCTTTTATTTATTTTTTTTTGTTTTTGGTATTGGGGATTGAACTTGGGTCCTTGTGCCTACAAGGTAGGTGGCAGCACCATTGAGCTAAAGAAATCTCTAGCCCTAGAACCTCTTTTATTTAAAACTAGTTAAAACTCTTATAGATCAATTAATAGATCTCATAGAATCAAAAGGAATGAAAACTCTTTGTTATTATAAAAGTAAACCTTTTGTAACAAATTGAAACTAACAAGCAAATATACATATTTTCTTGTTAAATTATTTCCATATCCCTTTTCTATATATTTAAGTCTTCTGGTCTTGTATGCCTTTCTTTATATTTTTCTAACAAGACAATCATACAAAATCCTTTCATATCAAAAGTATATCTCTTTTATCCATAGCTTTCATAATATTTTTCCTCTGCTGTCTCATTCACTATAAACCTTCTATAACAAACTTCAGTTTAAAGTGTCCTTTTTCTGTTTTCAGATTGTCACATCTTAAAATTTGATTGGCTGCCAATAGAACAGTATTAACCTTGAGTTTTTATCGACAAAGTACAGAAAAGAGCAAGTTAACCCTATAATCATAATTCAAGAATTTGCAGTGCACAAGAAATGTTTAAAGCACACCAATTAAACTTAATTCAAATTGAAACAAAGATACATTTATTAAATAGTTAAAATTTCTAATTTGATTTTTTGTAAGAATCTTTTGATGTCTGGTAAAACACAATTGCAGTTTTTCTGGTTTGCAGTGTTTCATTTTTTTTTTCTTATATTTTTGTCTTTCAGATTTTTCTTACTTGATTTTAATTTATTAGAAATTTTCTCATTTTAGTTCTTTGTAATCTGAGTGCAAGCCCTGTTTCATCGTTTTTCTGAGTCCTATCATGCTTTCCCATTTGTACCCTCCAGTGCAGTAGAGCTAAACAGTTTTGTTCTTGCCCCTTATTTCTTTTATACCTTCAATCTTAGTGACTCAGGGAGGGGGAGGCAGTTCGATTTCCTCCAAAGGGGAAACATTGGGATTTGTTTGCAGCAATGTCACATTTTCTGAGAGGTAAGTTCGCCCTGGGAAAACAGCAGATTTGGCAAGCAATTGTTTTAAAACTAAAACTAAATAGCTCAAGTTGTTAAAGTCTCAGGTAAGCAAAATAAAGGCAGATAACTTTCCTTCTGTTTAGAGTTGTCCTGGGGGCAAAGTTTGGCTTAGCTGAGACCATGATGACTCACAAAGTTTTTAAAGCATCTTTAGTTGCAGTTTTATTTTATATTCCCCTATAAAATTGCTATCAAAATTTTGAATTATGCATTTAAGAACAGTTGGTTTAGTATTGGCATTCTCCACAACCATTAGATATTTTCTTGTTCGGTGATGCAAGATAAACAAAGGGTGGGGTGCCATTCCAGAAAACGGCCTTGTTTATTTATTGGGTGGGCTCTTTAAACACAAGCTCTTTTTCCCTTTGTTTTGATGCATAGAGGAGGCTGCCGATGGCTTTTGTAGCTCGTTTTATTTAGTTTTTAAACTAAGTTTCTTTTATATATACAGTCACACAAGAGGTTAATATATTCCTTCCCTGGGGCCCCTTCCAAAGACAAACCAGGGAGCAATCCAGGGGATCTCACCATTTAGACAG